GTTATGTAGGGCAGTATGGGCATGACCTGAGAGCTTGTCAGAAATGCAGAATCTCAGGCTTTGACCCTGAACTACTGAATCAGAATCTGCAATTTAATAATATCCCCCGGATGATTCATATGCACATTGAAGTTTAAGAAGCACGCATCTAGGATTTAGGAAATTCTGGTTGAGCTGCATGTGCAGCAAGATGAGAAGATGGAGTTGTCCTACACCAGTGCCTGACATGTACTAGAATCCCCTTGGGGGCTTGCTAAAACGGGTTGCCTGTCCTCGTTCCCACAGTTTCTGATTTACTAGGGCTAGGGTAGGGCACGGGAATTTTCTATTAAGTGTTCAGGAGTTACTGAAGCTGCTGGCCCTTCACACTTTAAGGACCACTGCCTGAGTGGCCTATGGGATTTAGGAAGACCTCTTTGGCTTTTGTAACCTTTGAGAAGAACTCTCTGGTTTGCCTCAGGTAGTGTGATGGGGAGGAACAGATGTAAGCTTAAATCTGAAGACCTAAATGTTGGTCTTGCATTGGGCATGCCCTTGACCTCTGACTTACGTTTTCTTCATTTGAAGGTAGGAATAATGATAATAACAACTACTCCAAAGTCCTGTCATGAGGATCAAAGAAAGTATTTTCTCATCTCTTAAATGTAACATAGATGTAAGCTGTTGCTAATTCAGAACATGAGGTAGCAAAAACTTCTTAAAAAAAAAAAAAACAAATCTTCTGAGTCAGAGGCTTTGGGGAAAGATTTCACGGTGCTTTCTTAGTGGTGGTTTCTCTTTGGGGATGCCTTGCTTTCCTTTACTTTATTTATTGCCATTTGAAGAAATTACCATACTGCTGAAAATGCTTTTCTGAAAAAAAGAGACATTATGTATTACTTTCAAGGACTATTGCTGAGTTTGATTTTTGGTTTTTTTTTTTTGATGCATCTGAGCATTAGGTGGCAGTGCTTCAGTCATTATGGTCATATCTGTTTCGGGGGAGGTAATATTAGCACTCCTGAGCTGTGTTCTATAGCATTCTGTCAGCATATTTATAACACACTGGAGCAACTCATCAATGCCAGTGTCTTGTTGTGTGAGCTTCCCCGCATTCCATCTTCCTTCTCTCAGAGGTCTCATTGTTAGGCCATCATCCTAGTAATGTCTTGGCCAGGAAGTCCTGACTATTCTTTTGTATGTTCATGGATTTCAGCAAAGCACTTTTTTCAGCCTTTCGGGGTCTCAGAGTCTGGCCAGGGAAACTCAGGCTTTCATTCATTGCTGTATGGTGTAGGGAAGAGTGCACAGGCTTTCCACTTGGAACGTCTGTCTCTGGCCTGGCCTCCATGGCTTACACAGAGCTTCTTAACTTGGCTGCACATTGTCTTGGTGGGAAGACTTGGGAACAGTATGTGTGCTGGTTCCTACTCTACAGATTGTAATTTAATTGGCCTGGTGTAGCTTAAACTTTAAAAACTCCCCAGGTGATCCTACTAATTTGGGGCACACAATCTGTGTAATGAGTTTACTTAGTGGTCCTAAGCCTCAAATTTCCCAATACGTAGAATGGGTATAATAACATATCTCTTATAGCCATCATGTAGGGATTATAGATAGTGTGAGAAGGCTATGTGTGGTGGTTCTGCAGGCTGGAAGCCCCCTCCTAAAGACCAGTTCTACTTCTGCCACACTGCCTCTTCCATCACCAAGATTTGTGTTCCACCCTTCAACTTCCCCACTGGATCTGACTCATCACTACCTTCTGGAGAGGCTATCTTTTGAATTCATGGAATGACATCTGCCAGCTATTGACCTTTTAATCTACACCTGTGGAGCCAGGATAGCTCATAATGCAGCAAGCAGTATTTTAAGGACAAAGGAATCAGAGATCTTGCGTAGGGCCAGGAGCCTACCTCACTGACATGCTAGACTCTAGACCAATGATGGCAAACCTTTTAGAGCTTTCAGTGATACAAACAGCCCATTGTGGCATGCGCCCTGTGTGTTCACCACCACCGCCCTAGACCGTGACTGCTGCCTGCGTCTTCCCAGCATGACTGGCCTTTCTGCCTACTTGCTTTAGCAAGGACTATGCTCACCATCCCCTCCTGTATGTAGCCTTTTCCTCTGTTATTAGCCTGTTCACACTTTGCTACCTATACCAAAGCCTTTTTTCCTTAGGAATGACTCATAGCCTGTCCCTTTCATGAAGCCTATCTTTGTCTCTCAGGGTGAAGTTTGCAGTTTTTCTAGGGAAGTGTCTGGCATGCACTTTTGGGTGCTAGGGTCTCCCAAATAGTTATTTATGCACTTACCTCATCTCCCCTGCTCAGCTATAAGCTCCAGGAGATCAGGGGGTATATCTTCATCATCTGTCCCTCTCCCCAGCACTTAGAACTGTTAGTGCATATATGGGTGCTCAGAATGTGTTGAATGAGTGAATGAAAGGATTATATCTTAGTTATTTTCTCATTGCTAAGACAAAATACCTGACACTCACAACTTAAAGCAGAGGTTTGTTTTGGCTTACGATTTCCGAAATTTCAGTCAATGGTTGGCAGGCTCAAATACAAAAATGGCGAGGTGAAAGGGCCTGCCACAGGGGAAGGCTGCTCATGTCCCAGGGGCCAGGAAGTGGAGAAGGGAGGAGCTGGTTAGGGAGATCTGCCCTTCAGGTTACACCCCTGGTGACCTGCCTCTTGTGGTCAGGCCCTGCCTCTTAACATCACATTCTGCTATAGCAACCCCCCTAAATCCAATCACCTTCCAAAAGCCTTCCCTCTGAGTACATGAGAGTTTCGTGGGGATCATTCTTGATCTAAGCCATAACTGATGCCATATGTTCTTACAGTGTATCCCTTCATTAAAAAAAAAAAAAACATATGCACAAACTGAGATCTGGAGTTCTCTGAGTTCAAGCAGGTGCTGAGTTCCTGCTTTACATTCCTCAAGGCGTCTGTGCAGCACTGGGCCCCCAGCGGATGCGCAGTGAGCACTACTCATCTTGTACGGAAGTAGGCGTCATGTAACCAAAAGATCCAGAGGAATGATGGCAAATGGCATGTTTTCTACAGTGGCCTGAACAGAGCATGCATGAGGGTGTCACTTGCCTGATTTGGGTGGTGGTCTTGCTAGGTGTTCACCCTAGGGAGATCCCTTGGGTCCAAGAAGAAATATTTGGTACTTCTAGATCCTTATTTTTCAATTGAAAAAATAATGAGGCTTTAATAAGTTCTATAAAATTGGCAATGGACCCTTCAGTTGATCCTGATGGCACACATAGTAGGGGCTCTCTCTCCGTTTTATTTCCATTCAAGTGATCAAAAATAATCTTGATTTGCTTTGTGTACACATGTAGATTTATGAGTTTTATTATCTAGTTTAATTTAATCTTCCCAAAACATTGCCAAGTGGCTTAAAAATTACTTCAGAGCAACAGAAATTAAAGTGATTGCTAATGATGTAAGCCGAAGCAAATAACAAGAAAATGGTAAAAATGACCCTTCTCTTGTGCTAATATGCCATCTTGGGTAGCTAGATGACAGGGAGGAAAATGGTAATCTGACAAGGTTATGTCAAAATGTTTGAATAGTTAAGAAGACTATATCAAATGTGGATTTATATCCACTGTTATATTAATCTAATCCTATACAGATAATATGTCTTGAAGAATGACAATAATATTTGAAGGATTAGTGACTTTTGAAAATAATTTGTTTTGTCTTTTTTTTTTTTTTTTTTGGTTTTTCTCCGGTACCGGGAACCGAACTCACGACCTTGCGCATGCCAGGCAGGCGCTTTTGCCGCTGAGCTAAA